AATGCTCAGCATTCTTCCCTAAGTCTATGAGTAGATTAGACACTGCCGTCCTGAAGATCTATGAGAAATTGCTTTCCTAACTCCCAGATCTCATGCTCTGTCCCACACAATGATTTTCGGCTATACAGCTGCTTGGGAAAAATCTCTCAGCAGAACCAAACTGCAGGATAGAATGTGCTCTCCTATTTCCCACCATACTTTGGGCATTCATTAGGCTTTTCTCATTTCGGGAAGTTAAATAGAGCAGATGAGGGTTTCAGGGACTTGGGTTACTCAGAACTCAGGAAGATATTTCTGCAGTGAGAGAGTAAGGGAATGGCTTTTCAATCAGTCTCTCAGGTGCTGAGTGCCATGCAACCACTGAAAATTGTGAACTGGACAGAGGCAAGGTGGACATACAGAGCAGACCCACAGAGGGGGTAGGTACCCAGTGGGAAGGCACACTGTGAGAAGACACAATCGCGATGCCCACTTCCCCATGCCTGGAAGCCCAGGATCGTTTCCAGTTCCACTTTCCATTTCATCCTTGGCCTCTGGGCTGGAGACAAGAATTTTATATTAATAGCACCCTCATAAGTAGTTAAAGGCAGGGGTATGCTGGACCCCAGATCGAACAGGCTCTAAGAGCTGACTGTTAAATGTTCAATGTGAGCATTTACCCCTCAGAAACTGGCAAATGCTAAAAATCAGGCCTTGAATTATTGCTTTATTGATTGTTTAGAGTTGGTAAAATTAACGGAGCTTAAACTTAAAAGTGTGTCATGTGTACATGGGGAGGAGGCAGAGCAGGTTGTTTAAACATTAATTAGCACTCCACTGGTTATAGGGCACATAAAAATGTAAATAACCAAGAGGCAGGAAGGGAGAGAACCTTCCAGCTGGGGCCTGGGTACTGGCCCTAAGGAGGCCAATGCTCTCAAATGTCCCGTATTCAATCTGTTACCCAATTCCTGCCTGTTCTTCTGGAGCATTTCTCCAAATAGCCTTTTCCTCTTAGGCCCACTGTCTTTAACCCTAATCGAAGCCTTCATCTCCCAGCAGCCTCCTGGCTTAGACTCCCTCCTTCTAGCCTCTCTTTCCCTTCTAACATCCATCCTAGACACGAATGCTATAACTGCCCTCACAACAAACGATGAGGAAAGTTCAAGTGCCCTCACTGGCAACTCTGCAGAAAAGTGCGCCTGAGCTGCAGTGATTTACGCAGGGCCAGGAGGCTAACAGGTGACAAAAGTGATTCTTTTTATTGATCTTCTGAGTCCAAATTCAGGGCTCTTTTGTTTTTTTGTTTTTGTTTGTTTTGCTTTTTGGTGAGGCAATCGGGGTTAAGTGACTTGCCCAAGGTCACAGAGTTAGTAAGTGTTAAGTGTCTGAGACCAGATTTGAATTCAGGTCCTTCTGACTCCAAGGCTGGAGCTCCATCCACTGCGCCACCCAGCTGCCCCTTTTTGTTTTGGTTTTTTTTGGGTTTTTTTTTTTTGGTCAGGCAATTGGGGTTAAGTGACTTGCCCAGGGTCACACAGCTAGTGTCAAGTGTTTGGTCTGAGGCTGCATTTGAACTCAGGTCCTCCTGACTTCAGGGCCGGCGCTGTATCCACTGCGCCACCTAGCTGCCCCCATCTAAGGGCTTTCTAAGGCCCTCCCTAGCTCAAACAGTCTATAGTCTTAATGGAATTATCATTCATTACTTTTATTATAGCTCTTTGCATGTCTGTTTTCTCTTGTTGCTCTAAGTTATATAACAGGCAGCATCCCCAACTTATCTAAATGTGTATATGTCTCCCAAGGCTAAGCACTCTACTTTGCACATGGTAAATAATTGTTGAAATGCCAGGTAGACCCCAATCCAAAGGTCTCATGATGAAACATGCTATCCAGCTACAGATAGACAGCTGATGGACTCAAAGAACAGAATGAAGCAAATCTGCTTAGCCTTTTTTTTTTTTGGACATGGCTAATGTAGGAATTTGGTTTAATTGACTGTACATATTTGTAAAGAGTTTCATTTTTCCTCCCTTATTTATGGATGGGAAAAGGGGAGATGGGAGGGAGAGAATTCCAAACTGAAAAAGAAAAAAAAAACCGAGCTTTTAAAAATGGCAGGTTGAGTTTTTCAGGCTCTCAAATGGTTTGTTTCTTTTGAGGAATCAATATCCCATCCTAGGTCCAACTCCACGGCAGTATAAACTCAAAAAGTGTTTGATATTGGATTAATAATTAAAGCCCTGTGTCATCTTCTCTTCTGCCTCTATTATATGCCTTTTTCACTCCCATGGAAAATCTCCAGCTTCCTTCCAATACATAGTCCAGGCTCTCCCTCCTACATTTTCTGTTCCTGTTCCCCAGTTACCATCACCGTCTCCCACCTGAAATCACTTTGAAATCATTTTATTTTGCCCATATACTGTGTTTTGTTGTTGTTCAGACATTTCAGTCATGTCTGATTTTTCATGATCCCATTTGGGGTTTTCTTGGCAGAGGTCCTGGAGCGGTTTGCCATTTCCTTCTCCAGGTCATTTTACAGATGAGGAAACTGAGGCAAACAGGGTTAAGTGACTTGCTCAGGGTCACACAGGTAGTCAGAGTCTGAAGCCAGATTTGAACTCGGGAAGATGAGTCTTCCTGACTCCAGACCTGGCACTCCATCTGCCACACCACCTAGCTGTCCATACACTGTTTACTCACTGTTATAAATGTTGTGTGCCACTAAGAGTACAAGAAGGCCCTTGAGGGCAGAACCATTCTGTTTTTACTCCTTGAAAGATAGATATATAAATATGTGTCTATATGTATGTATGTATATGGGTATGTATGAGTCTGTATATATGTATGTATGTGTATACACTGCACAAATGTCTGCTGAGTTGAATTCAGTCATACCCGAATTCACCATTTCGTCTCCAAACAGACTGCAAGTGGCTCATGGGCCTCTTCACAGCACAGACTCTTCCATCTGGTCACGCACCCATTGTTTCAATGGCCTTCTTGAGGAACACGACTGTGCACCTTGTATAAAGTCCCTTAAATATGAAAGCCCTCATCTCTGCCTTGTATGTGCTTGGACTCCCAGCTGATATAGCAAGGAATGATAGTGGAAAAATCACTGGACTTGGAGCAAAGCTCCAGGGCTGAGATTTTGATTCTGATACTGACTACTACTTATTACAAATGGGTAGGCCACCTGACTTCCTTTGGCCTGCTATCTCATCTGTCCAGTGAAAATATTAATACTTTTGCTACCAAACTCTAGGGGTTATTTGTAAGGAAAACACTTTATAAGCCTTGAAGGTGCAACCACATGTGAGTTATTGTTTTCTTTTCCTTTGTAAGTGCCTTCATGTTCTCTCTCTCTCTCTCCCCTCCTCCCCTCCTTCCCTGATCCCCCCCTTGTTATTTTCTCTCCTCTCTGTCAGGTTTCTGCCTTATCATTTCTTCTTTACACTTTTTAGTATTTGAAAGGATAAAAATTCCAGATTGAACCTCGATATTATCTAATAAAAATGATGTACTTTTTCACTAAGGGCAATGATTTTAAATTTCATTGCAGCCTTCTTCCAAAACTGATCAGTTGTATTGCCTTCTACAATATAATGGAAGATTCCCCTGCTCCTTCTACCAGCCTGACTTGTTCTTAATCCTTTCCACATTCTTTCCCCTAACTGTCCCTCTTCCATCTTCTCATCTGCCAGGACTTCCGCCTTGTCCAGAATTTTATCCTTCCTCATCCCTGCCTTCCTTTCAACTTCAGCTCCACTACCAACTATTCCATAGTTGGCCTCTCTGATATCGCCCTCCCCCCTCCCCAAGGGCTCTCCGTCCTTGAATTACCCTGGAACACTTTGGTCTTTCCTTTGCCTACTCCCCTCTCATCCCCTCCCCATATTATCCTTATTATCTCTTAGAGGTCACATGCCCCCAGTTGAATGGAAGTTCATTCAAGCTAGAAACTATGACACTTTTTGTCTCTGTACCCCCAGAGCCTGAGATTAGACCTTTCCATCTAACTATATATGCACATGTGTATATGTATTTGTATGTGCATATGCATGTATGCACATATCTACACATATGCATATGTATACCGCACATACCTATATCATGTGTATATACACCATGTGTATACACATGCATATATATACACACAAACATACATATAATATAAGCATATATATAACAGAAAGATTTGTTTTCCTTAGTCCTTCATTAATTTATATATGTATAGATCCATGTACATATATGCATATGTACACCTATATATGCAAGAAGACATACACATAGATATATGCATACATAAACCCTCAGAATGATTTGTTTTCACTAACCCTTCATTAAGCTATGTGTGTATACATGTGTGTGTATGTATAGTGTTTGTACATATTTGCACATACGTATGTGTACGCGTGTACATGAATATAAACCCCCAGAAAGCTGTTTTCATTAACCTTTCATTAAGCTGTATGTGTGAATATGTGTATGAAATGCATTCTCATGTGTATATGCATATACATGCATATATGCCAACATGTGTACATACGTATATACATGTATATATATATATGGCTTAATTAAGAGTTGATGAAAACAATTTTTTCTGTGGGTTTATTACTATGGACGAAGGAAACGGACTCTAGTATGTTCAAAGAACTGAAGCATATTTATTGCAGTCCCATGTTTGTTTGCCTTTGCTGCCCTCTTCCCTCATTTCTTATCTTCATTTTTCAGGCCCTCCTTAAAGCCTTATGTAATTCTCCCCATTTGAGAGTAGGGAAGTCATTTTAGAACACTAAACGGAGTCAGAGGCCCTGGATTCAAATCCCACATGCCCAATACCTCTGTAACCTTGGACCTCATTTTCTCGATGGTTCTGAGAGCTCTTCCAGCTTCAGAGCCCCGGGAGCCCTCCGGGAACCTCTAATCCCATGACCTCTGGCATCCCTGCTTCACCCACAGCCTCCCTATCCTACGCAGCCCAGGGGCGCTCTCCCACCCTCTCCCCTGGGTACCTGAAGTTCGTGCAAGTGAAAGACATTGCCTTGCACCAACAGTTGGAAAAAATTACGCAACCGGCTCGGCCCTGGAAGCTCTTCTGGACTGCGCAGTGGCCGGTCACCAGGCCCAGCGGAGGAGGACACGGTGCCTGGATCCGTAGTCAGCGCTGTGGAAAGTGCAGCTGAGTCCACAGCCTTCGCCCTCGCTCCGAGTGGACAACGCGCCGGAGGCCTTCGCAGAGGGGCCAGCAGGCACGCCAAGCGACCCCGCATCGCCAGGGACCCAACGTTCTGCATGCCAGCTCCAAGTACTGGGAACTAGCTCCTAGACTAGACGTCCGGGAGGAGCTGGAGAGACCAGGGCGAGGGGCGGAGTCCCGGAGAGAAAAAGACACATTGTTCTGCACCCTGATCCCTGAGATGCCTCCCCTCTGCATCCACGGCCATACGTCCGGAAGCTTACCTAACGACCCACCTTCCCACCACCCCCACGGCTTCTGAGGTGGCCTGGCACTGTAAGAAAGTAAAGACCTCTTCCCACATTTGAGGAGCATGGGGAGATGCTGCCTTTGACCTCCCCCAGGGGATGACTGGCAGAGGGATGGAGAGGGTGCCTTCTAGAGGGAGGGCCCAGCGAGCTCATACCGGGACTTAGCGAGGTGGAGCAAGAAACTGGCAGAGAGACCTATGTGTCTGTGTTCTACACTCATAGTTCCTTCAGGTCACAACAATTCTTTACACACCCCTACTGCAACTGTCTCTTCCACTACACCCAAGTCAGAAGTAGGGAAGGGGAGTGTCTTCTATCTTTATTTCTAGGATCAGAGAGTCCCTAGCTCTCCCAAATCTAGAGACCTGAAGGTTTAGGGCAGAATAAATAAAACAGAGTATATCTCCACAATCTATGCCTTTTCCTGGTACAACTCCTCTTCACCCTCTGGCCTAATGCTCCATCTGGACAACTCTTTCTGTGACTGAGCTAGGAACCCTCCTCTTGTCCTAGGAGTTGATTGACAACTAGCTATTCTGGGAGTCTGAATGGAGGGCTAAGTAGAAAACACAACTCTCTGTTGATTACAATCAGCCTTGTGTGACAACACCCATGTGACTCAGCATTTTATGCCTCACTTTCCTCATATATAAAAGGAGATTGGGGGAACGATTTGAAACTATATCCAAAAAGCTAAGAAACTATTCATAGCTTTTGGCCTGGCCTATGCTTCCACAGAGATCAAAGAAAGAAGAAAAGCCCCTACAGAAACAAAAAATGTATAGCAAGTCTTTTTCTTGGTGGCCAAAAAAAAAAAAAAAAGGAACCTAAAGGGATGCCATCTATTGGGGAATGGCTGAACAAGTTGTGGTATATGAATGTTGAAGAGAGAGTTTCTGAGAAACCTGGGAAGTCTTTTAAGCATTGATGCAGAATGAAGTGAGCAGAACCAGGGAATGTTATAAATTAACAACAACATTGTAAAGATAACCAATTCTGAAAGATTAAAGAACTCTCTGATCATCAAAATGATTAATCATGATTCTAGAGGCCTAATGATGATGCATGCTTCCCACTTCCTGACAGAGGAGTGATGATCTAATATGCAGACTAAGGCATGTTTTTTTAACATGGCCAATGTGGGAATTTTTTTCTTGGCTATGCTTATTTTTTCAAAGGGTTTTTTTCCCTCCCCCCCCACATGTGGGGGGGAGGGGGAAGGTGGAAGGGAGAAAAAAAATAAATGACTGATAATTGAAAAAACCCACAATTTAAAAGTGTGAGGGGAGTAGACTACATAGTTTCTGAGATCTTTTCCAGCTCTAAAGCTTATGCTCTTATGAAATCATGACAAACTAGTCTTAGAGGAAGGACTTTATCTGCTCCCAACTGATAATCTAGTTGCCTATTAACTTGCCTCCAAGGTCACAGCTATCATGATTGACAATATTATTATGAACACAGCAGCTGATGTCTGAAATTTGTGTCTCACTAATCTTTGGAACTCATTACTATAGCATTCTGTAGGCATTTCTTAGTGTTTAAATAAAATTCTTGGTATATGAGTTTCTTTCCACTTTAGTACTCATATAAAGCACAAGTGGCTAATAACTGCTTAGTAATACCAAGGGTGTTTGTATTTCAATAAAACAAATTGGCCCTAATGCCAAGGAATTGTCACAAGTGAAAAAAGGTAAACTGAGGCATAAAGCTCTGAGCACAACCAATATATTAGCAAAGTACAAATTTGCCAATAAACAAGGTCTCAGCCTCAGCTACCTAAGACTCTGAATAAAGGCTGACAGATCATTTTCACGGACAAAAGGAAGAGCATTCAAAAACTAGAAGGCAACATCACAGACGGAAAAAAATTTTGATTGAGTACAAAATCTGCAGCAGCATATATATAGGGAACAATATGATTGACTGGAAACTTGGAATGCGGGGCTACCAACAACTTCTCATTCTATCTTGTCACTGTGGAAAGTTCATTCGTAGTGTCCACTTGAGACTTAGCAAAGACAAATGCTACAAGGGACAAAAACAGACATTCAGATTTAAAGAGGGGAAGATGAGCCAAGATGGAGTAGAAGGAAGCAGTACAGCCTTGCTCTCCTCCCAAAACATACCACACCAAGTCTTAACTGTGAAATCCAAGAAAAAAAATTCATAGTGAATCATTTTTCCAGTCCAAGTCAGCACTGGGTCTACAGAAACTTGGGACAGAAATGACAGTGCACTAGAGCATTTCAGTGACTGAATAAGGGGCTGCCTGAGGCAATATCTCAGGGCAAAAAGAAGTCCCAGGCCCACACAGAAGGGCTTTTGTGCAGCAAGCAGAAACAAGTGTCAACTGGCAGCTCTGCCACTCCCTAATGGGTATAGATCCAATGAAGTCAGAGGAGGGGACTTGCACCTAGGGGTGATGGTCCAGAGCAAGGAGTAGTCACCAATCTGTGTATTAATCAAGGAGCAAATATGGAAGCAAGCAGAAACTATGTGGTTTTGACCTTGAGAGCAGAATAGGGTCTCTTTTCCATCCTCTAGTCTAGTGACTATGGTGAAAGCCAAGATCAAAGAGGAGTCCTCAGTTCTGTCACTCCAAACCTGCAGAATTTCCCAGATGGTTAACAGTGTAGGAGCTCCAACCAGGAGGCAAGTCCACAATTGTGCTGATCATACCTAAACCTAGTGGAAATAAGACCAAGAAGGCAATACTCAGACTTCCCCCTGGATGAGACCACCTTAGACACACTAAAAGCTTGTACAGCTTAACTTGAGCTATCCTTGAGATCTCGGCACAACACACAACACTCAATGACACAAGAAAGCAGCAGGACCCAAGAGAATACAAAACAGGACCAAACAGGGCCACCATTCATTCCAGAAGTGCAGAGAGATTGGACCTAACACAAAGTATTGACCTTACCCCAAAGAAGTCAGGAAGTAAGGCTAGAAAAATGAGCAAAAGAGAATCCACCACAAAATATGGTGACAGGGACACTCAAAACACAAACTCATAAGAAGAGAATAACTTCAAAACATCTACTAGCAAAGCAGCAATAAAAACACAGCTTGTGCATAAGTTCAACTAGTATTCCAAGAAGAGATGAAGCAAAAGGTGTTTGAGTTTTTTTTTTAAGAACTATAGATGATTTTATAAGTGAAATGAGAGCTAAAAGAAACAATAGGAAAAGAAATGAGAGTTATGGAAGAAAGAATCAGAAAGAGAATTAACAGCTTGACACAAGAGATACAAAATCTCACTCCTTACAAAACAGACTCCTTAAAAATTAGAATGTACCGAATAGAAGTTAATGTCTTCATTTAAAAAAAAATATTAAAACAAAGTCAAAAGGCTGAAAAAAAAATAGAAAAGAGTAAGTTCTTTCATATAAAAAAATGACTTGGAAAATAGATAAGCAGAGAGAATTTAAGAATCACTGGACTACCTGAAAACTACAACTAAAATAAAGACATCATTTAGACATCATTTTCCAACAAATCTTAAAATAAAATTACTCAGGCCTCTAAGTACCAAAAGGCAAAGTGAAAGTAAAATCCACAGATTGCCTCCTAAAAAAGTCCAAAATAAAAACCTCCAGGAACATCGTAGCCCAAATCCAGAACTTTCAGGTCAACGAAAAAGTTCTGCAAGTAGCCGGGGGGAAAATTCAAGGGCCAAGGAGCCACAATCAGGATCACACAAAATTTAGCAGCCACCACTATAAAGAAACAGAAAACTTGGAGAAGAATAACTTGCCTGGCTTAATTGAGTATAATCCTACGGTGGGGAGGGGGGAGGAATGGACCTCTAACGAAACACAGGACTTAAAAATATTCCTGAGGAAAAGACCAGAGCTGCATAGAAACTTTGAAATGCCAACACAAGAGTCAAGTGACACAGAAAAAAGAAATATGAATGAACAATCATATTGGGACTAAAAAGGATAAATTCTTTACATTTTCATATAGAAAAATGTGTCCCCTCAAAACCCTGTTGTCATCAAGAGTAATAGGAGGGAATCTAATTATTCAGAAGTCCTGGTAGTGGAGTTTGGGTTTGTGTGTGTGTGTGTGTGTGTGTGTGTGTGTGTGTGTGTGTTTTAATGATCTTTTAAAAAGAAAGGGGGGCAGCTAGGTTGCACAGTGGATAGAGCACCAGCCCTGAAGTCAGGAGGACTTGAGTTCAAATCTGGCCTCAGACCAAACACTTGATACTTACTAGCTGTGTGACCCTGGGAAAGTCACTTAACCCCACTTGCATAAATAAATAAAAATAAAAAGAAAAGAAAGTAATACACCAGACAAAGGAAGAGTGGGGAAGTTATTTCACATAATTTGAGTGTGCAATTAGAAAACTATATGAGAAAGGGGGGAACAGGAACTTTGTTTTCATCTGAAACTAGTCAAAGTCAAGCAAGGGACAGAGCCTCAAGTGAGGGGGCAGAGCCAAAATGGTGAAATGATAGAAAGCAGTGTCCACAACTATTCTAAACAGATCTAGAAAATGCACCAAACAAATCCTAAGGGGCAAATCCAGAAAAAGTCACAGGAAGTCATTTGTCCAGCCCAGTTCAGCATAAGGAGGCAGGCAAGGCCTTCTGACATTAAGTACCGGTTGGGTTGAGAGCACAAGGCACTCGGGGTATTCTAGAGGCCAAGGAGAAGCTGTGAACTGGAGCAGGAGGACCCAAACTCAAAACAAGGCACTCCCAAGACCCATACCAGGACATTTGATGAGGACAGGTACAAACTAGCAGGTTTCTTGCTCACTACCCAATCCCAGGTCACAGATCTAGGGAAGACTGAAAAGAGAATTTGTGCAGGGAATGATGTTCCTGGGTAGGGAAGTCCTGAGCTATATAAGGAGAAAGAAGGAAATTCAGATGCCAGTAGCAGCAATGGTATGGCTCAGACTCCAAACCCAGAGCAGTCTTACTTCCACAATCTAGCCTAGCCTACAAGGAATAACCAGGGTGAGAGTCCCAGTTCAGAGGAGCCTATAGTTCTGACACTCTGAATCAA